GGAAACTCCATACTGCTTTCCACAGCGGCTGCCCCAGTCTGCATTCCCACCAGCAGTGCGAGGGCTCCCTTTCCTCCGCGTCCTCCCAGCACTTGTCAGGTGTTGGCTGGCTGACGGCAGCCGTTCTGACAGGGGTGAGGTGAGCCTCGCGGTGACCCCTCTTACACTGAACACGGCGCCTTGTGATGGCGTCTCTACCGTTTCCCCGCCTGTAACGGGAGCATCGACACGGAGGCGCAGAGAACGCCCCGTCTCTCCGGAGGGCGCACAGCGCCTCCCCACACGAAGCCGTTAAAATCCGGCATCACGCCGAGTCCCTGCATGTGGTCTTTACTGGATTCCGAGGGAGCCATTTAAAAATCGTGTTTTAACTTTTGAACCTGCTTTTGAATTTAAAAAAAAAAAAAAGGCAACTCGTCGCCTCTGGCCTAATGGATGCGACTACGAAAGGCTGATTTTACGACCGAAGAAATGCATTTGACTCAGCACAGTGGTGACAGCGCCCTCCGCGTGATGACTCCATTCAATTCCCCCCTTTCATCCATATTCAGGTTCATTATCTCGCAGACAGAGGACAAGGCGGCAGGTCATCTGTCAAGTCTGGATGCTGGGAATCTTGGATGCCTTTCTGTGTTTTGCGTTTTTTTGTTAATCCTCATCCTAGGATATTTTCCCATTGATTCTTAGAGAGAGTGGAATGGAGAGGAGAAAGAGAAACATTGACGTGAGACAGACACATTGATGGGCTGCCTCTTGCGTGCAGCCCGGCCAGGGAGGAGCCTGCAACCGACATTCGTGCCCTTGACCGGGAATCGAACCCGGGACCCTTCAGTCCGCAGGCCCACGCTCTATCCACTGAGCCACACCGGCCAGGGCCACAGAGGAATTTTTAAACCTTGTTTGCAGTGGATGGACTGCCCTTCGCCGGAACATTCTTTTCGCTCTCCGGCATCCTGGAGGAATTCTCTGATTTGCGCGTCCTGTCCGCCCACGTGGTCATTTCTGGGAATGGAGTCCCTCGGGCACTGAAGCACTTTGTCAGCTCCGGCTGCCAGCACGGAACCCGCAGAGTGGGCGGCTCACACCACAGAAATGCGTGGTCGCAGGGCGCTGGAGGCGGGGAGCCTGAGGCTCAGGTGCCCGGCCAGGGCCAGGATCCGGTACTTTTATTACTGTTACTGTTAAGCATATCTTTCCTTCTATTTCCTGAAGCTTTTGTTATAGTTGCATAAGAGCTTCAAAAACTCTTATGAGTTTAAATTACAAGTGTATCTTGAACTGGAAACGTGTTGCCCCGATGTTCCTCTGCATTCCTTTGCTATCACATCAGACGGAATTCATGAGGAGGAGCCTTACACGGCTCCTACACACGCTGCTTCCGGTCGGATCAGAAGTTCAGGGCAGGGAGCGTTTTCTCCAGGGACGCAGAGGGAGTTCTTCCCGGCGAGGACGAAAACACCGAGAGAAATCAAGAGAGAGGAATCGCGTGACTGGGGCCCTGGCAGAAACCCCAGGGAGGACCTGCTTAGCTCAAAGCCTGCGTCAAAGCCTGGGAGACAAAACCCGGTCATTACATGTTTTTCGAAACATGGAGATGCGTTTTTTTTTCCATTTAATATTTTCATTAAAAATACATTCTTGTCCTGGCTGGTACTGCTCGGTGGTTAGAGCACAGGCCTACGGACTGAGGAGTCCTGGGTTCGATTCCAGTCAAGGGCACATGCCTGGGTTGCGGGCTCGATCCCCAGCGTGGGGTGTGCAAGAGGCAGCCGATCCATGATTCTCTCTCATCAAACCCGGTCATTACATGTTTTTCGAAACATGGAGATGCGTTTTTTTTTCCATTTAATATTTTCATTAAAAATACATTCTTGTCCTGGCTGGTACTGCTCGGTGGTTAGAGCACAGGCCTACGGACTGAGGAGTCCTGGGTTCGATTCCGGTCAAGGGCACGTGCCTGGGTTGCGGGCTCGATCCCCAGTGTGGGGTGTGCAAGAGGCAGCCGATCCATGAGTCTCTCTCATCACTGATGTTTCTATCTCTCTCTTCCTCTTTGAAACCAATAAAAATATTTGTTTATAAAAAAGCTCTCTCTGTCCACGTCTACTGATTCAAGAGACCTCAAGTTTAAAAGGTGCGACCACTACTAGAATAAAGAGTGCCTCATTCAGAGTGATCTCTTCGTGTTTATACCTGGATCATGTAGGACAAAAATCAATCCAATGAATGTTCCGGATTCCTGCCCCCCAAGAATTACAAAAACTTTGCTTGAGTAAACGTGAGATACGAAGCCAGATCTGATGCAGGCTCAGATGGGGACTTCCTCTCCCTGGGAAACGGAATGTAGATGCCCGCACAAAGGGTCCGAGCCCGCCTGGTACCAACAGCATCCGATCGTATTCCAGTGGCTTGAAGGAGCGTCGATGGGAGGTGGGACAGCCAGCTGGACTCGGGGCACACAAGGGGAGGGCGTCCCTCGAAGAAGAAATCGGCCGCCATCGCTGCCCCTCCTGGTGCCGGCCCTGCGCTGCCTCCCTGCTAAGCCCTTACCCGCCTGTTGCTCGGGCTTCTCACTCACCGCGGCCCCTCCTGGGCCTCAGGTTGAGGCGGCAGCATCTTAGGATATGGGTCTCCACCCCCTTCCCACCTGGAGCTGAACGGTGCCAATGCCTGACCAAGCACAGCCCACCCTACTCTCATGCCCGGGGTCAGATCACCTTAGTTCTTCATGGCCCTGACTTCTGCCCAGACTTTTGGCTCCGACCTTCACAACCTGGTGCTCACGTCTAATGCCAAACTCACCCCGTCTGGTAGCTTAGATGGTATTTTACATAAAAAGAATTCTAGCCCTGGCCGGTGTGGCCCAGTGGATAGAGTGTCGGCTCCCGGACTGAAGGGTCCCGGGTTCGAGTCCCCTCCAGGGCCCCTTCCTCGGCTGCAGGCTCTTTGGCTGGCCCTGCTGAAGGCACCCAATCCGTGTGTCTCTCCCCCTGTCTCTCCCCCTCCCTCCCACCCGCTCTAAAAATCAATGGAAAAATATATATCCTCCAGTGAGGATTAACCACCCCCCCTCAAAAAAAAAAAGCAGCCCTGGGTTAGACTGCCTCTGACTCCAGCTAATGGCTGCGGGGTGCTGGGCTCTGTCCTCGTAACGTGTCCACGTCTGCCCAGCACCACCTGCAGCCTGGCCTCAGCTCTCCGAGCCCCGCGGGTGGCTGTGCAGCGATCGATCGATAATAACCGGCGGCCTCTTGTGGATGGACGTGAGCGGAATATCAACTCCGACTTTGGGAAGCGTGGGAAGAGCGTCGTGATCAGACGCCTGGAGCCCAGCCCGCCTGCACCCCCGGGGCCGTCTCCAGTCCCCTTTGGTGACGCAGCACCGACCCCCATCCAGGGGCACTGAGGTGTCACCTCTGAGGCTGGGGGGAGGGGTGTCTGGACTTGCAAATGCATGGGAGGCGGTGGCCACCAGGAGATTTTTCTGGGCTTTGGCCCAGGGAGCTCTCCAACAACTTCAGTCTGTGAGTTTATTTTTTTATTGATTTGGGAGAGAGAAAGGAAGGGATGGAGAGAGAGAGAGAGAGAAATTTGTTTTTCTACTTATTTATGCATTTGTTGGTTGATTCTTGTCTGTGCCCTGCTGGGAATTGAACCTGCAACCTTGGTGTATGGAGATGATGCTCTAACCAACCGGCTACCTGGTCAGAGCCAGTCTGTTTAATACATGAAGTCCCTCCTGTCCTTTTTTAAAAATATATATCTTTTTATTGATTTCAGAGAGGAAGGGAGAGGGAGAGAGAAACATCAGTGATGAGAGAGAACCATTGATTGGCTGCCTCCTGCACGCACCACACTGGGGATCAAGCCTTGACCGGGAATGACACTGTGACCTCCTGGTTCATAGGTCGACCCTCAACCACTGAGCCACACCGGCCGGGCCTGTTCTTAAATCTCGTCCCAGTCAGAGCTGTGCTGTCAATCATCCCAGGTTACATGGAAGTGACTCCCAGATGTAAACAGAGGACCCAATCCCAGGACCCACTGTCCCCAAAATTCCGCGTAAACCAACACCTCGCCTTGGGCGCATCACGTCCCCCTCTGGGCCATCTGAACCACAGCTCAGGAAGCGGCACGGCGGCTGCTGTTTTTCCTTCTTATCCGCCAGGCCCCTCTCTCCCTTTTGGAGTATCTCATCTTTTCAGGCCATGCGTTGGAAAAAGTAAACGGTAACTTGGGGGTTCCGGGCATGGCTCTGTGGGAGAAGGAAAATGCACTGTGCATTTGGGGCAAAAAGATGAACTGAAGTCTGTCATACGTGTAATTGTCTCCTAGGAGACCCAAGCATAAATCATCACCATGGAGACCGCTTGAAGCCATGAGCATGGATAATCCCCTGGGCCTTGTTTGGGGCAAGAAAGGCTGCAAATGAGAGCGGCCAAGCCTCGCAGCGATGACCAGGGTGAGGGGGGGGCCGGCTCCGGGCCTGGCCCAGCAGCCCTGTGGGCGACCGCATGGCTGTGCTCCTGACAGGCCTCCTGCCCCTGACAAGGAGGGGACCGTCACAGCAATGCCACGGCTCCCGAGAGAGCGGCCGCTCAGTCCACAGCCGGGCTTTGGGGAGACGCCGCCCAGAGTCCTTCCACGGTCTGACTGAGAATAAGAGAACTAATACGCGCAATAAAATAAACGTTCCCTTCAACGCAGAGAACGGGTGCCGTGTGTTAGGAGCCTGGGGTACAAGGTCTACATTTTATTTTATTTATTTTTTAAATATATACTTTTTTATTTCAGAGAGGAAGGGAGAGGGAGAGAGAAACAGAAACATCCATGATGAGAGAGAATCATGGATTGGCTGCCTCCTGCATGCCCCCCACTGGGGATGGAGCCCGCAACTTGGGCGTGTGCCCTGACCGGAATCCAACCCGGGACCCTTCAGTCCGCAGGCCGACGCTCTAGCCACTTAGCCACACCGAGAGAACAATAAAAATATATTTTAAAAAAATAGTTTGATTTGTGGAAGAAACTGGGCCACATGGTAACCTGACAAGCTCAGGGAAGGCCTGCGGAGCAGCCTTGCAAACTCAGAGACCTAAAGTCACCACCAAGGATTAGAAAGCAGTGTGTGGTGGGTAGTCACGTCCTAGGCCAGTATCTTCCCAGACAAAGATCAACTTGGGCCTCAACTGAGCCTCCTGCCTTTTTGCATCTAAGTTAACATACCTTTGGAATGTCGGGGTCACTTCCCCTTCTCCGGACCCCTCAGGGCAGAACCAGTGCACCAGGGCAGAGACCACAAATTCCCTCGCTGTTACTGTTACCGTGTTAATTGCTGACTGTTAGCCTCCTGCATCCACCTGAGGAAAAAAAAAAAAAAGACCAAAAGGACACCAGTGGAGATGAGTGTGAAAATGCGGGTCAGTGGGATGCACTGCGGGGGTGGGGTGAGGGGCAGGAGGGGAAGGGGACTGGCTCCCCGTTTTCTCTGTCACAGCCTTCAGACCCGGTTACAGAGAACTGTCCCCATTTTACAGGCCAGGACACTGAGGCTCACAGCGGCCGGGTCACTGGACCAGAACTACCCAGACAGCACGCTGGAGTCTGGGTCCCGCCCTTTCCCATCCGCTGTGCATCCAGGCTAGACCTGCGATCAGCCTGGAGCTAAGGGGGTGGGGAGAGTGCCCGGGGGACTCACTGAGGAGCAGGTACGACTGGTCATCGGCAGCTGGCCAAGACCTCGACGTCAGTCAGCTCGCCCCTGCACAGAGGGGCTGCCACGGGAGTCTGACTGGGGGTGGGGGCGGGGCTCCGTGCTCAGCCTCCCCGCCAGAGGCATCCAGCAGCCCAGATGCCGCACCTGGGCCTCTGAGTCATCGCCCGCCCGCCGCGGCGGTGGAGGTGATGTTAATCCCATCTGACAGCGCGCGTGGTCCAACCTGGAGAATAGAAACCGTGAGTCACCACCCTGCTCCCTAGACCATGCGTTTAATTAAAGGGGGGCCGGGTCCCCGTCGAGCTTCGTGAGGTCAGCCTCCCCGCCTGCCTCCACCGAGCTCCAAGGGGTGGGACCCCTCCTGGTGCCTCTGTGTACACTGGTGGGGGCCCCCCGTGCACCCCGGCATGGCAGAAGCTCACAGAACAGAATGAGCAAGCGTCAAAGATATTCCTCTTGCCCTGAACAGTGTGCTCAGTGGTCAGATCCCCAGCCTTCGAACTGAAGGGTCTCAGGTTTCGATTCCCGGTATCGATGTCTCTCTCTCTCTCTCTCTCCGTCCCTTCTCTCTTCCACTCTCTCTAAAAACCAATGGAAAAAAAATATCCTCGGGTGAGGATTAAAAAAGAGATAGAGCCCAGCTGCTGCGGCTCAGTGGTTGGCACAGACCTATGAACCAGGAGGTCGTGGCTCTAGTCCTGGTCAGGGGCACGTACCTCGGCTGCAGGCTCCATCCCCGGCCCTGGTCGGGGTGTGTGTAGGAGGCAACCAATCGATGTGTCTCTCTCGCATTGATGTTTCTCTCTCTCTGGGTCTCTCCCCCTCCCTTCCACTCTCTCTATAAGAAAAAGCAAGAAAGACACGAACAATTGTTAAATCTGCTTGGAGCAAGGATTCAGCCAACCACAGCCCACGTGCCAGTCTCTATTCATAATCGGAGAATGGATTTCACCCTCTCCGACGGCTGGGAAAAAATGAAAAGAAGAATGTTTTCTGGCGTGTGAAGATGAGACGACGTTCCAATTTCAAGGTCCATAAATAAAGTTTTATTGGAGCACAGCCACGCGCATTCATCTGCATACGGTCTGTGGCGGGTCTGACACGATGGGCAGTGCTGGGCAGCTGAGATAAGGCTGCATGTATAACTCCCAGAGCCTGAAATACTTAATACCAGCCTTTCACAGGGGAAAAAAAAAAAAGTGCCAACACTTGACTTGGAATATATGCTGATGCGTATCTTTATTGTATAATTACTTCGACTCCCCTGTACACGGCAGATTCTTCCTCACAAAGAAATCAGCTTCGCAATCCACACGCAAGTTATCAGGGAACATATTTTTTGCAAATGCATTAAAGGTAAAGACAGTGAAGTTCAGAGAAAGTGACTTGCCCAACACCCCCTAGTCAGTAATGCGATTTATGCCAATATCCAAGAGTATAATATACCAATATTAAATTTATATGGAAAGTAAAAGGAACTAGAATAGCCAAAATGATTTTGAATGTTTTTTAATATGATTTTTAAAATTGATTTTACAGAGAGAGGGAGAGGGAGGAAGAGGGAAAGAAACGTCAATCAGCCTGCATGCCCCCGACTGGGGACTGAGCCCGGGCCCAGGCATGTGGCCTGACTGGAATCAAACAGGTGACGCTCAAGCAACTCTAACTATTTGATTTTAAAACCAAAAAGCTACATTAATCAGGACAGGGTGGCGTTGGTGAAATGGTAAACACAGAGAACACAGAAATATAGTCATAAAGTCCAGAAATCCATCCATGTCTGAAGAGATGGCCAACACCTTTTGACAGAGGATTACAAAGTTAGATTCTCAAAAAATGGCCCTGGAACAACTGTACATCAATATGCAAAAACAAAACAGACAGACAGACACACACACACACTCAACACCCTCCGCCCACACCCCGCTGCTTTGCATCTTCTATGAAAATTACGGACCGTGGATCTGATTTGGGGTTAGGCGGAGATTTCTTAGCTACAATATCAAGAAACGCAAACCATTAAAAACCAATTAATAATTTATCGAACATCAACATTTTAAAAGGTCTGCTCTACACCACACACGGTTAAGAGAATGAAAAGACAAGCCTCCAACTGGGAGCCATTATTCACAAAACACACAGAACAAGCACGTGTACGTAGACGGCATCACAGAACCGCCAGGACCCTGTAAGCAAGCCAACAGCCCCTAACAAATGAGCAAAGGCTCTGACAGCCACTTCACCAAAAAGATGATAGATAGATAGATAGATAGATAGATGATAGATAGATAGATAGATAGATGATTGATAGATAGATAGATGATAGATAGATGATAGATGATAGATAGATAGATAATAGATAGAAAGATAGATGATAGATAGATAGATAGATGATAGATAGATGATCGATAGTAGATAGATGATAGATAGATAGATTATAGATAGATAAATGATGAATGATAGATAGATAGATAGATAGATGATAGATAGATAATAGACAGATAGATGATAGATAGATGATAGATAATAGATAGATAGACGGCATGTTAAGTACATGCACAAATGTGCACCATCGTTAATCCTCAGGGAGACGCAAATTAAATCTCCATGAAGTACCACTACTGCCTAATAAAACGGCACACACACACACACACACATAAATACACAGATACACATATAAACCAGCTTGTGGGTGGGAGAGGAAAGCGTGCCGTCTTTTTGGGGAGAACCATTTTGGGAAGCCCATTACAAATGCAGGGGACGCAGTCTTCGAGGCAGTAACTCTGCGTCTGAGAACCAGTTCATTTCCATACGTCTCGGCAAAGACGTCCAGGGACGCCGCCTTAACAGGCACGTGTGCGTGAATGTTTTGTAGTCATTACGTCTTTGGAAAAGCAGCCAGGCTCGATTAGCCGGGAGCCGGCGAGAGCCACGGAAGGCAGGGCTGGGGAAGGAAACATTTACTTTCTAATTTCTACTCTCGTCGGCTGTGTGGTGTCTCTGGAATTGGTGCCATATGTTTGTGTTCCTCCCAGAATTAAAGACCCCAACAACTGAGGTGGATGCAAATTGACACACAGCGAGGCGGGCTGGATGGCTTGTCCGCGTTCAGGGGATTCTACGTTCCGAGGGGAGACGCGGGACCATCTGGGTCCGGCTCTCCGTCCCAGGCAGCCTGGTGCCCGAGTAAGCGGGATTGCATCTCGAAAAGCTGTGTTCTCTCTGTCTTCTGCCTCTGCCCACTCCCCCTCCCCCATGTTCCCAAGCCGGAGTCTCTACAGTGGGAATTAGAGTGTCAGACTTTATTCCCCACTCTTATTTCAGCTGCTTCTAACTTTTCGAAGAAAAAAGAAAGAAAAAACACCCTATTGTGTCTTTTTTGTTCTGTGTTTGTGGGGGATCAAGTGCCTAATGAAGTGTGAACAGTAACATCTCCCCCCCCATCCTGACCCCCGTGTCTGGGCCTCAGGAGCCGGTGCTAGGACTGTTGCAGTAGCCTTCAGAACTGGTCTCTGAGACTCCAGTACTCCAACACGCCCCGCAGACCGGCCCCACCGTCCATGCGGCAGCTGAGGGAGCTGGCGACAGCACGGTGATAGCTCCGGTTCCTCCCGGGCTCCCTCAATGCCTCCTCGTTCCCACTAGACCGGACCTTCTCTCCTTGGGATGACCCAGCCTCTTCCCTCCTCTCCAGCCCATAGCACATGCCCCAATCTATGAAAACCCTCAGCCACCACGTGCCTGGAGGCAAGGGGCAGCTCTCACCCGCTTCCCTTCTTTTTTAAAATATTTTTTTTATTGATTTCAGAGAGGGAGGGAGAGAGAAACATCAAGGATGAGAATCATCAATCAGCTTCCTCCTGCACGCCCCCTGCTGGGGATCTAGCCCGCAACCGGGGCGTGTGCCTGGCCAGGAATCCAGCCGGACCTAACAGACCCTCCAGGTGGGCTACTGACCGCCCTGTGCTCTCATCCGTGTGTACGAACCGAGGCCCACGTGCACCATCCATTGCACGCCTGGCCTCCCGACTGCTGTGTGAGCTGCGTGGGCAGGCACCCCCGGCAGGATTCACCTTCCCGCCTGCTGGGCCCAGCTCCACGCCTGGAATGGGGTCGACGCTCTACAAACGCCTGCCTGACTGAATAAGGGGACCACCCCCCCCACCCCCCGATGCTGCAGAGAACCCTGCTCCATGTGGACGCTGAGCTGCCTGGCGGTCATCCTGACGAGGGCCTCATGAGTCTTATTTCAGTCGCTGGGAACGCAGGCAGCCCCGACCAGCCGACTGTCATCACACAGGGCACGGTTCAGAGCAGGGGTTCCCAGCGTGGGGCACACGCCCCCGAGGGGGGGGCAGTTTGATGTTTAAGGGGGGCAATTCGAGAATGTGTTATTCACAGTGAATGTTTTGCATTTCTGATGGTTCTAGGGGCCTCGTAGACAGTCTGTACATACATATTGTGATATATTTATGCATTTCAGTTCTCTATTATGTCTGAAACCTTATTTGCTATTTTTTCATATCCCTTCACATTATTATTATTTAACAATTCCTTCGTGAGTTCTTCCTCAGTTCGTCCACTGTCCTTTCGTCCTTTTGTTTTTCTCTTTCGTGGACGCCATGTTCTTTGGCAGCTTGTTTAGACCAAGTTCATGGCCTTTGAGGCTTCCTCCACGTGAACAGGTGTGCAGGAGGAAGCTGATCAACGATTCCCTCTCATCACTGATGTTTCTCTCTCTCTCCCTCTCCCTTCCTCTCTGAAATCAGTAAAAATATATTAAAATAAGTAAAATAAAATTACATAGGTGCTGGGTGTACGGTTCTATAACACGTCCTCTGTCTGTTGTCCTGTGCGCTCACCGCTCCAAGTCAAGTCTCTCTCCATCACCAATTACCCCCATACACCCTACTCCACCCCCTCCCCAGGCGAGCACCACACTGTTGTCCCTGCCCATGCGTTTTTCCTCTATTTTTTCCCCTTTTTTGCTCAATCCCTCCACCTCCCCGCCAGCCCCTGCCCCTGGACAGCTGACAGCCTCTCTCTACCTATTTTGCTTGTTAGTTCATTTAGGTCATTCGAGTGAAATCTTATGGCCCTTGTCTTTCTCTGACTGGCTTCTTGACCTCATTTCACAGAATGGTCTGGGGAGCTGAGGTCAAGGGTCATCCTTTCCTGGACTCACTGAATAGTGTGGACACTCGTGCATCTTGTTTATCAGGAAGGATTTCTCACCTTAAAAGAGAGCGGTGCTATGCACAGCCCATGGACACGGGCAGGAGGGTAGTGAAGACCGACCCTAATGGGTGGGTGGGTGGAGGCTGGGAGGCGGG